TTTTCGAGATTTTGGATTTCGAGATTTCGTAACATACCCATTAAAAAAGTAAATAATATTATATAGTTAAAAATATATATTTATAAGAAATGTATTTATATAAAAAAATTTACTTTTTTTACAATATATTTAAAAAGTTTATTACTTAAAGATTTATATTATTAATTTATTAATAATAAAATTTAATTTTTATTTATTTATAATAATAATATATTTACAAAAATTTTAAACATTTAAAAACAAAATATTTGTTATGCATTTTTTCTTTTTAAATACAAATAGAATTTATCATATAATTAACTCTGAATATAAAGAATGAGCTGTATAGAATATTAAGTTTATTATAAAGTGAGTTTATTATATAATATTTGTGTTTTATATTAAACTGTTTGATATATAAATTAACTAATAAATTTAAATATAATTAGTTATTTTTTATTATATTTAAACTTATTACATATTATAAAAGTATTATATTATAATTAACTATATACATATTATTAAAAATAATTGTTAATATTAACTTATTTTAAGTTTTTTATAATTAGTAATTTCACTTACTTTTGTAATTTTAAAACTTTTAATTCTTTATTTACTTTATTAAATTCTAATTCTTACTCATATAAAATCTTATTATTTTATCTGCAGCATTTTCCGCTTCTATTAAACTAACTTTTTCTAATATAGATATAAATTCATCTTCATCTATCAAATCCTTTTTCTCATTTATAGTTAATATAGTATCAATTATTTCATGATTAGTTAGATTATTTTCTAATATTTTATTTATATAAAGATACTTATATGCATTAAGATTACTTTTTAAAAGTTAAGAAATTAATATATCAAGTTCTTTAATTTTTGTATTAACACTAAAAAAGTATATAAGTTATATCAATAGGAGAAGATTAAACACTTTTTAAAAAATTTTTCAAAAAGTATTTAATCTTTCCTTATTAATATAATCTATACATTAAATATATAATTAATATTTTAATAAATTTTTTAATAGCTTTTATACATATATTATACTAT